TCCGAGATGGCTAAATAATTAGCTACAATGGCTGTTCCTGATGATTCCTTTTTCCAAGAAGAGCTGGATGACAAATTATTATTTTGCATAGGAACATACAGCCCTATTCTATTTGAGCCGGAATACACTGAAGAGGAGTTGCGACAGCGAGAAAAATTATTGAGACCAGCAAGCAGCGGCGGCAGCCTAGACCAGCTGGACCAGGAGGGTAAATTACAAACGAGTAAGGTGTTTTGCTATAAGCTCTCTTTTTACACAAGGAAGTGTTAAGTACAGTACAATTTGATAATTGATTTGGCAATAACTCGGCTTGCTAGTATCACTACAAGCCAAGCTAGCCAAGTTTAGCTAGCTGTGTTTGCTATACCTACAATGTACTGTAGTGTAACTTTATAGCTATCTAGCTAACTAGCTAGTTACCAGCCTCAGAAATTACAGCCCAAATAAACGCTTCACAGAGTTCAAGTAACAGACACATCTCAACATCAACGGTTCAGAGGAGACTGTGTGAATAAGGCCTTCATGGTCGAATTGCTGCAAAGAAACCACTACTAAAGGACACCAATAAGAAGAAGAGACTTGCTTGGGCCAAGAAACACGCGCAATATCTATCAAATCAAATTTTATTTGCCATGTGCCGAATACAACAGGTGTAGACATTACCGTGAAATGCATACTTACAGCCCTTAACCAACAATGCATTTATTTTTAAATAAAAAAGTAAAATAAAACAACAACAACAAAAAAGTGTTGAGAAAAAAAGTAAAATAAAATAACAGTAGGGAAGCTATATACGGGGGGGTACCGGTGCAGAGTCAATGTGGGGGGGCACCGGCTAGTTGAGTTAGTTGAGGTAATATGTAATAATAATAATTAGTGGGTAGAGTTAAAGTGACTATGCATAAATAATTAACAGAGTAGCAGCAGCGTAAAAAGATGGGGTGGGGGTGGGGGGGGGCAGTGCAAATAGTCCGGGTAGCCATGATTAGCTGTTCAGGATTCTTATTGCTTGGGGGTAGAAGCTGTTGAGAAGCCTTTTGGACCTAGACTTGGCGCTCCGGTACCGCTTGCCGTGCAGTAGCAGAGAGAACAGTCTGACTAGGGTGGCTGGAGTCTTTGACAATTTTGAGGGCCTTCCTCTGACACCGCCTGGTATATAGGTCCTGGATGGCAGGAAGCTTGGCCCCAGTGATGTACTGGGCCGTACGCACTACCCTCTGTAGTGCCTTGCGGTCAGAGGCCGAGCAGTTGCCATACCAGGCGGACATTAGACCAGTGGAAATTTGTCCTTTGGTCTGGAGTCCAAATTGGAGATTTTACACTAAACCAGCATGGCTACCACAGCATTCTGCAGTGATACGCCATCCCATCTGGTTTGGGCTTAGTGGGACTATCATTTGTTTTTCAACAGGACAATGACCTCCAAATTCATATTCATTATATAAATAGGCCCGTTTAATTTTGTGTGGCTTGCCGTTCCAGATAAAATTGAATATTTTTTTCTCATATAATTTAAACAACTGTTCGCTAGGCATGGCAAGACCATAAGCAAGTAGGTAAACTGGAATAATACTAAAGAGTTAATCAGGGTGATTTTTCCAAAAATAGACAGGTATTTACCTTTCCATGGTAGCAAGATCTTATCTATTTTTGCTAACTTTCTATTCAAATGTATTGGAGTGAAATCATTTATTTCATTTGGGATATATATTCAGAGTATATCCACATCACCATCAGACCATTTTATTGGTAAACTACATGGTAATGTACCATTTGTATTTCTTAGTGATCCAATACGTAATATAGTACATTTATCATAATTTGGTTGTAATCCAGAGAGGTTAGAAAATATATCTAGATCCTCTATGAGGCTGTGGAGGGATTAAAGTTGTGGATTTAAAAGAAAACATGAATCATCAGCGTACAATGACACCTTTGTTTTTAAGCCCTGGATTTCTAATCCCTTGATATTATTGCTGGATCTGATTTTAATAGCTAACATTTTGATGGCCATAATAAATAGATATGCCGATAGTGGACAACCTTGTTTTACTCCTTTTGACAGTTTAAAACTTTCGGAGAAATAGCCATTATTTACTATTTTACACATAGGGTTACTATACATGATTTTAACTCATTTTATAAGAGATTCTCCTAAATTGAAATGCTCCAGGCATTTATATATAAACTCCAGTCGTACTTTATCAAATGGCTTTTCAAAGTCTGCTATGAATAGCAGGCCTGGTTTCCCAGATTTTTCATAGTGTTCTATTGTTTCCATTACTTGTCTTATATTATCTCCAATGTATCCTCCATGTAAAAAACCTGTCTGATTAGAATGAATAATATCCGACAATACCTTTTTAATTCTATGCGCTATACATTTTGCTAGAATATTTGTATCACAACATTGAAGTGTAAGGGCCTCCAATTTTTTTAATGGACTTTATATTTCCCACTTGTATCCTGTTTCAGTAATAATGAAATCAGACCTTCTTCTTGAAGGAGTGGTTAAAACATGCTAATAACGGTCCTCTGAGTATATCAAAAAAGGTTTGGTATACCTCGACTGGTATGCCATCCAACCCTGGAGTTTTCCCAGACTTAGTCTTTAATTGCAGAGACACTTAACCTTGATATATTCAAAAACTACTCTCACCTACAGTAATTTCATACTTGGCACACGAACCGCCGCCCGCTTTGAATAAGAAATCATGAATGTATTTACGTGAAATGTCTTAGTTCGCCGTGTATCTCTCGGTGGACAGGACCCCCCTGGAAAGGGAGTTGGACCTTCTCGTGGCACGCTTGTGAGGCTCTGATTGTCCAAAAAGGTTCCAACAAGTCTTCTACTGTTCTCTTCTTCGTAGTTGTCCGGTCTCTGATGACTTGTCGTGTAGTCCTGAACAGAACTACAGAGTTGATTTTCCTTCCATTCACTCTTGAAGTCGCTTCTTTGAAGATAGGCTAGCCAGCCGTATCGATGGTTCCCCAGTGGGGTGATGAGAGTTGCAGGATGGTTCTACTTAAATTAGTTTTTTCGAAGATACCTTACTTAGGACAGCTAATCAGCCGTACCAGTGATTGTCTGGGAGGTGAGTTTATTCTCTCTACCTCGTGTTGAGATTCAAAGTTCCAACCATTTTAAACGTGTAGCTGCCGTGTTTACGTTTTCTGGTCTGATATGTTAATTCGTAACCCATCCTTTTATACACTATGCTCGAAAGGGCCAGTTCCGTCGAGCTGACACGCTCTCTGACCTCACTCGGGGGCATGACTACTTACTGTGCAAAGCTTATGGAAAACAATTATCTCTTATAGTGTTCCCAAATCACATCCCTCTCTTAACAAAAATACTTTCATAATTGTTCATATTACATGCACAACGTATAGGATGGAAACTTCCTACATGTAGTGGGTATACTTTCCAAGTTACAGTATTTCCTTTTATAACATTTTTTATGACATCACAAAATAACAACCCAATTGACATTAGTGTTCTATAGATCGCCTCTGACCATTTCCCACATTCTATGTTAGAAATATTGTTCCAGTATTTGCTTTAGAATGTGTTAGAGTTTCGGCGGGAAAAGTCTGTGGAAACAAAGGCACATTCCTCTGTTGAACATTGGAGAGGGAGACCTGAATATTCTCTCATTGATTTACAACAGGGCCTGAGGTGTCAACCCCCCACCAGTTCCCTCCTGCCCTCCTGAGAGGGGGTCTGGTTGAAGTTATTCATTGCAAACCTGATCTGACCTATTTGGATCCTCACAGGACAGTCATGACAACATTTTAGAGAAAAGCTTTTTGTGTGTATGGAAAAATGTCTGGGATCTTTTATTTCGGCTCATGAAACATGGGACCAACACTTCACATGTTGCGTATATATTGTTGTTTAGTATAATTAAGCCTCAACTCAAATCTATATCCTTTTTATCTGAATTTTTTAAAAACTTGTCCCGGACAAGAGGACAAGCGTTAATGTCGAGCCATGACGTGCATGTAAATGGGTGACATTATTTTTTTATTTCAAAAGGAATGCACAAAGCATAAATAAATGGAGCATGTTAGAAACAAGGAACTAAGGCACATGGCAAACAATCAAACAGAGGAATGTCCTCAATCAAAAGGCAAATGATATGTAAAAGTAAAGAGGACATGTTCAGACATTTCACGTGTCCAAGATAAACAGAAAAAAAGGCTAATTATATACAGGGTTTCAAACATCTATCTAACAAAGGAATACAGCTATAAGCACAGGCAAAATCCTAGAGGAAAACCTGGTTCAGTCTGCTTTCCAACAGACACTGGGAGACAAATTCACCTTTCAGCAGGCAGGTCAATAACTTAAAACACAAGGCCGTATCTACACTGGACTTACCAAGACGACTTTGAATGTTCCTGAGTGGCCTAGTTACAGTTTTAACTTAAATCGGCTTGAAAAATCTATGGCAAGACTTGAAAATGGCTGTCTAGCAATGATCAACATGAACTTGACAGAGCTTGAATAATGCTTTTAAGAATAATGGGCAAACAGTTTGACAAAGTCTAATATCGCTGGTGTGAACATATCCACAGCTAGCTCTGTACCCTTTCAGTGTCAGCCACAGGAGAATACTACCCCTCAGAACATCTGCCTCAAGATTTCTTTAGGAAATTGCAAGTGAGAATCTTTGATGTAATAGGCATTTTAATTTCTTTGTCTCACAATGTAAACATTGTTGTGTTGAGAACATGAATCCACTATGCATTCTGTCGCACAAAATACTTTTGTTTGTGACTTATTTATCCCACAAACCACCCTAGGACCCCACAGGGTTGCACATTTGTGTTCTACCCCAGCACTATCACATCTAATTGAATGAATCACCTAAACATAAACCCTTGATAAGCTGTATCGGATGAATTAGTAGTGGGCAAGAACAAAAATCGGCACCCCTGTAGTTCCCCAGGACTGAAAAACGGTGATATTAAGACCCTAGGGATATTCTTACCGTGGTATCCACCGTTGTCACCGGCTTGGTGGGGACGTGGTGCGACGGGGATGAGGGCTCCTGTGCCGACAGCACCACGCATCCCCGGGAGCCCAGGGTGATGATGACCGAGCTGCAGCCTCGCCTCAGCAGCTCCTGTCCGGCCTGGCCGGCGTCCTCTATACTCGCCACGGCCGCCCCCGTCAGCAGCTCTGCCTGTGGAGACCACCAGGGAGATGTGTTAGAGATTATGTGTGGCCTGGGATTTGAGCCAGCAACAGACAACTGTCCCACCTCAAAGTGAAAATCTATGTATGTTGAGTGTTTGGGTGTGCATCACCCAGGAGGGTGCAGCACATTGGTGATGGGTTAGGTTAGTTCTCCTTACAATGTAGGCCTAAAGCACTTTGAGCACTTGCGAAATCACTTCATAAATCCCTATTAGTTCAGTTTTACATTCTTCTCAGTCACTGATCTGAGGGCAACTTCTATTGGGAGCTGATATACACTAGACCGAGCAAAAAGAGGTACAGACATTTTCTTTCTAAATCATTCTTTGGGATGTATAGGGGAGAGTGGAGTATGTTGAGCCATTTTTTACATTCAGAATCACTACGTGAAGAGAAATATAGTATTCTGTCCAGGGTTTCCGTTTGGAAAATTTGGCGCCGGACAACGTAACCGGCAAGATTTTAATTTACCGGACATTTGAGAAATTTACCGGACATACATATGCATTGAGTGCGTAAAGCATTAGGAAGTCCACCCACGGTGCTCAAAATCACATTTAGATTATTGTAATTCATCTTGTAATTAATCTTAACCTCTAAAAGTCTAAGCCGTTGGGGGGGGGGGGGTTTAGCTAATATATGGAATTGTTTTAGATGGTCATACCATGGATCATTTCGCTATTTGATGTTTAATTTTAGGAGGTCTTTAGGTATAAAAAAAAAGTTAAAAAAAAAACGATTTGATAAAATATTGAGTTTGCCCTTTACTACTATAGCCCATAGAAACGCATTTAATAACATTCATAAATGTCAAAAAAAGGAATAAGGAATAAGGTTTGGAAGTGTCTGTCCTACAGTTGAAGTCGGAAGTTTACATACACTTAGGTTGGAGTCATTAAAACTTGTTTTTCAACCACTCCACAAATTTCTTGTTAACAAACTATAGTTTTGGCAAGTCGGTTAGAACATCTACTTTGTGCATGACACAAGTGATTTTAACAACAATTGTTTACAGACAGATTATTTCACTTATTATTCACTGTATCACAATTCCAGTGGGTCAGAAGTTTACATACACTAAGTTGACCGTGCCTTTAAACAGCTTGGAAAATTCCAGAAGGTTCTGATAGGCTAATTGACATCATTTGAGTCAATTGGAGGTGTACCTGTGGATGTATTTCAAGGCCTACCTTCAAACTCAGTGCCTCTTTGCTTGACATCATCAGAAAATCAAAAGAAATTAGCCAAGACCTCAGAAAGGAATTGTAGACCTCCACAAGTCTGCTTCATCCTTGGGAGCAATTTCCAAATGCCTGAAGGTCCCACGTTCATCTGTACAAACAATAGTACGCAAGTATAAACACCATGGGACCACGCAGCCGTCAATACCGCTCAGGAAGGAGACGCGTTCTGTCTCCTAGAGATGAACATACTTTGGTGTGAAAAGTGCAAATCAATCCCAGAACAACAGCTAAAAAAAACAAAAAAACAACAGCAAAGGACCTTGTTAAGATGCTGGAGGAAACGGGTACAAAAGTAATTTTATCCACAGTAAAACAAGTCCTATATCGACATAACCTGAAAGACCGCTCAGCAAGGAAGAAGCCACTGCTCCAAAACCGCCAAAGAAAAGCCAGACTACGGTTTGTAACTGCACATGGGGACAAAGACCGTACTTTTTGGAGAAATGTCCTCTGGTCTGATTAAACAAAAATAGAACTGTTTGGCCATAATGACCATCGTTATGTTTGGAGGAAAAAGGGGGGATGCTTGCAAGCCGAAGAACACCATCCCAAGCGTGAAGCACGGGGGTGGCAGCATCATGCTGTGGGGGTGCTTTGCTGCAGGAGGGACTGGTGCACTTCACAAAATAGATGGCATCATGAAGAAGGGAAATTATGTGGATATATTGAAGCAACATCTCAAGACATCAGTCAGGAAGTTAAAGCTTGGTCGCAAATGGGTCTTCCAAATGGACAATGACCCCAAGCATACTTCCAAAGTTGTGGCAAAATGGCTTAAGGACAACAAAGTCAAGGTATTGGAGTGGCCATCACAAAGCCCTGACCTCAATCCTATAGAAAATGTGTGGGCAGAACTGAAAAAGCGTGTGCGAGCAAGGAGGCCTACAAACCTGACTCAGTTACACCAGCTCTGTCAGGAGGAATGGGCCAAAATTCACCCAAATTATTGTGGGAAGCTTGTGGAAGGCTACCCGAAACGTTTGACCCAAGTTAAACAATTTAAAGGCAATGCTACCAAATACTAATTGAGTGTATGTAAACTCCTGACCCACTGGGAATGGGATGAAATAAATAAAAGCTGAAATAATACTTCCATTCGTTTCTATGGGTTACCTTCAGACGAGTCCTGTCTGAAGGAAACCCGTCATAGAGCAAAACGGTCCCGTCGTAACGCAAAATGAAAATCACCATCGTGTTCGTGAGAGTCTCCCCTTTCCATAGAGTGGTCATAATAGGCTAAACCGTTCGGTCGCTACGTACGTTTTCATGAGAAGACCGATTTTCGGGAAGTCTCGGTCTGACAAACACTGTTGTAGCTCGGCCACCTTCCACCGCAGAATAGACGGATACGGTGGATTGAGACGCAGCTGATATCTCTAGCTTGAACTGACGGATTTTGATGTGGATTTTTTTTATGTTACTTAGATTGACGCAACAAAATAGAATAGGCCTGTGAAGTTGTAATAAAATAAATTGGAACGATGCTCTTATACCAACATGACAGGTTTTATTGAAAAGCAAAACATTGCCCGTTCCGTCTTCATCCCTGCTATAAATCATAAATTAATATAATTTAAAATAAAAAAAACATTTTAGCCTAGAAGAACAAGTCGCCTACACAGTAATAAAACACAACTTCAAAATATATTTGTATAACACAATTTGTGAATGACCTGTCCTATACGCTATTTCTATGAAAATGTGAATTAATAAATAACAAAACACAGCTGTTTTCAAATACAATCTAGGCCTCTTTAATTTAGCCTAGGCATTAACATTTTAATTGGGCCTAATAAATAAAAAAACATGGCTGTCTACGAACACCAGGGCCGGCCGGTCATGGCTAGAAGGGATCCAGCTTTTGTCAAATTAACATCAGATTTGACATTTCGTAACAGGTTAGGAGAACTTACGCAGCAGGTTAGGATAATTAACGTATAGGTTAGGAGAAGTAGGTTAAGGTTAGGAAAAGGGTTATGGTTAGCTAAAATGCACTTTTTCAAAATGTTTGATGTTAATATAAAAGCTGGATCCCTTCTAGCCCCACTCCCCATTCCTGCTGCGATTCTGCACCACAGCAGTGGAAAGAGGACACTCGAGGCAGCCACAAAATGAAATTATAAAACTGATGTTGGACAATCAAATTCGATATGTAAATAAATGAAATTTGTTAAGGCTGGTTCATTGAAAGCTTATTTTACAATGCTCCTGTGAAACGAGGCCCGCGCCATGCATTTATGAAAGCACTTGTTTCAAAAGCTCAAAATATATCTCACTCCTTTTACAGTTCTACTGAATGATGTTAATAAATGTAATTTGAACTATCTTGGGGTTGAGACTCGTGTCGTGTGTGATATATGTGGCTTGTTGATAACAACTCTGTTTCCTACTATATGCAGTTGGTTGCCTAGTGATTGCAACATTGTAACTCTCCGATGTGAGTAGTTGTCAACAATGTTTTGTTTCCAAGTGCTACAGAGTAAGCCCAACTGAAATACACCAATTGCACATGATACACATCATTACTCTAGTCTAGTCTCAATCCATTCCTAATCTTTATAGTATACAGGACACAGGGGTGGCATATGTTGATCTAGCCCAGGGCGGCAGCAGAACTGCTAGGACTGGGCCTGACGAACACAATAATTAGGCCTCTCATTACTTGTGTTTGCGGCAGACCATAGCCTGTTCAAAGTGAGCCGCTGCTGTTGGGAAGTCAAAACTGTCCAACTCCTTGGAGTACCTTGCGCATCAACCTCGTTACTTTGTCCTCAAGAAGGCACGATGTTGAGGCCGTCTTTACTCTGTTTTGGAGAAAGAATCCCTTCTCGGCGGGCACACTGGAAACAGGGATAATCAACACAATCTTCGCAAAATTTTCCCAGTCGGGGTACACTTAGCTGAAGTCGCTTATGAGGACCTTGCTTCTTTTGCGTGAGTAAAAATAGAAACACACACACCCAACACTCATTTCCAAGCAGCTTCAGGATTTATTAGCCTATGAAGTATTTTTGCCTTTGAAGTTGGAGCACATCAACTGGTATTTCCATCAACGAATAAAAAGTATTTTGCAACGGATTGGATGGCCGGCAACAATTGTATTTATCGGCTTTTCATTGATTTTTTGGGGGCCAAAAGCCGGCATTTACATATATTTCAGGATGTTGTGTATCCCTGGAAATAGTCAGAATTCATGTCAATGTAACAATTTTGAAAACATAGCTTGTCAAAAAAAAGTGGTCTCTTGGCACAACTTATCCTGGGAATTGGGTTAATTTTGCATTGGGACACATTTGTGTATAGTTTCCTAGGCTCAACTAACCCTTTGGCGCGACTTACCTGACTCTTCCCTACCTATCCAGCAACTATATTACTCGTTATCTTTCTATTATGCTATCTCTGCGTTGTTGGGAAAGGGCCCGTAAGTAACCATTTCACTGTTAGTCTACAGCTGTTGTTTACGAAGCATGTGTCAAATACAATTTGATTTGATTTATATAGCAGCTAGTTAGTGTGAGGTCCTTAATGGACAGCGATGCTAATTCCCATCACTATAAACACGTCAACATGCTATGTGAGCTGTGGATCAAAGAGTGCCTGCACTTTGTCATCCTTCAGCCCCCCTCAAGGTCCAGCATGGCACTGGCAGACCACACACACACACACACACAAAAGGGTAGGGGTTTAAGATGAGGACTGGGTGTCCATCTTGTCTGTCAAGCCTCCACACCTGCCCAGACAGTGATCTCAGCTAGCTCCCCACTCTGTGGGGGATCAGGGCACCACTACCACTGACACGAAACACAAACGGAGGCTGCTCCTGTAAGTCGCTCTGGATAAGAGCGTCTGCTAAATGACTAAAATGTAAATGTAAATGTCTTTCAATTCATCCTCTATGAAGCTTCAAAGCCAACAATACCTTGACAGTTGAAAAATAAACTACACAAAGTATATTATTGGTGCTCGTAGTCCCTGGTGCCACCCTGTTCTGGTCGGCTACCAAATAAGAAAAAGAGCTGTCTGTCTTCTTACTCATTGGAGGAGCCCATTTGCGTGCTCTGGAGAGTGAATCATTTCACTGCCTTGACTGAAATATGAGCAGCGGTGAGAGGGTGAACGCAATGAGTGTGTGTGTCTTACACTCAAACGTACAAGAGAAAAAGACAGACGGTTGGCTTCATCGTCAACTCTCGCTTTCAAGTACCCACCTGGAAAGCAGCCCCCGACCACATCAAAGTCTCTAAGATACATTTCTGGGCAAACTCACCTCTGTGTTACCCCGGGGGTGAATCTGGCTCACTCTTTCAACATATCTGCCCTGTTGTTGTTTCTAACTATGTTTCCCATCAATCCCCATCTGTCATCTCTGACAGTGGAGGTGTGAGGCTAAGGTGGCTCCATAACACCCTTTACCGTAAATGGAGGGAGGGGAGGAATAGAGGGATGGAATCATCTTTTCCATTCAAGCCAGAAGGGGTTACTTCCTTCTGAGGCAGCTGCTATGCTACTGATGTACAGGGCCGTGACCCTGAGAATACAATCAAATGGTTGTCAAAGAGGGAGGGAATAAGGTTTTTTAACTGCAGGCTTCAGTGCTTGGTACTGCGTCTCAGAAATATGTGTGTGTTGCTTCACATTGTCTATATATCTCACCTCTGATTCATTACAGCAGAACACATCGGAGGCTCTGTAGAAATCGGGATCCAGGTCTGGAATGGCCGGCGCTGGGTTGAAAATGGTCTTCACTGTAAGACATAGGAAACGATCTAAATTGACCACACTCAAACGGTACAGTACATATCAGGTAAATGCTACCAGAGAACAATCCATTCCACTACAGAGTGCTGGAACAACTGAACAATTTCATTGATTGAGTGAGATACAATGGGATGAGAGAGAGCTAGTGTTTATTGAAATATGTTGGTAGAGAAAAGGCTTACTCCCAACCCAGAGGACAAAATCAGAATGACATCATTTAGTCGTTGTAAACTGGTTTCCTGGTTGTAAAGACTTCAGATAACAAGATCTCAACCCGGTAAAGACATATATTTTTTCATGACATTTGGGAAACTTTGTCTTATCTAGTTTGCTAAAAAGACATCTAAAAAAAAAAACTCCCTTTTACAATCAGTATACAAGCTAAGCATTTCCTGCAGGGAAATTTCCTCACCTACAGTTGAAGTCGGAAGCTTACCTTAGCCAAATACATTTAAACTCAGTTTTTCAAAATTCCTGACATTTAATCCTAGTAAAAATTCCCTGTCTTAGGTCAGTTAGGATCACCACTTTATTTTAAGAATGTGAAATGTCCGAATAATAGTAGAGTGATTTATTTCAGCTTTTATTTATTTCATCACATTCCCAGTGGGTCAGAAGTTTACATACACTCAATTAGTATATGGTAGCATTGCCTTTAAATTGTTTAACTTGGGTCAAACGTTTCGGGTAGCCTTCCACAAGCTTCCCACAATAAGTTGGGTGAATTTTGGCCCATTCCTCCTGACAGAGCTGGTGTAACTGAGTCAGGTTTGTAGGCCTCCTTGCTCACACACGCCTTTTTCAGTTCTGCCCTCAAATGTTCTATAGCATTTAGGTCAGGGCTTTGTGATGGCCACTCCAATACCTTGACTTTGTTGTCCTTAAGCCATTTTGCCACAACTTTGGAAGTATGCTTGTGGTCATTGTCCATTTGGAAGACCCATTTGCGACCAAGCTTTAACTTGCTGACTGATGTCTTGAGATGTTGCTTCAATATATCAACATAATTTTCCTTCGTCATGATGCCATCTATTTTGTGAAGTGGACCAGACCCTCCTACAGCAAAGCACCCCCACAGCATGATGCTGCCACCCCCGTGCTTCACGGTTGGGATGGTGTTCTTCGGCTTGCAAGCATCCCCCCCTTTTCCTCCAAACATAATGATGGTCATTATGGCCAAACAGTTCTATTTTTGTTTCATCAGACCAGAGGACATTTCTCCAAAAAGTAAGATCTTTGTCCCCATATGCAGTTGCAAACCGTAGTCTGGCTTTTTTATGGCGGTGTTGGAGCAGTGGCTTCTTCCTTGCTGAGCGGTCTTTCAGGTTATGTCGATATAGGACTTGTTTTACTGTGGATATAGATACTTTTGTACCCGTTTCCTCCAGCATCTTCACAAGGTCCTTTGCTGTTGTTCTGGGATTGAATTGCACTTTTCGCACCAAAGTATGTTCATCTCTAGGAGACAGAACACGTCTCTTTCCTGAGCTGTATGACGGCTGCGTGGTCCCATGGTGTTTATACTTGCGTACTATTGTTTGTACAGATGAACGTGGGACCTTAAGGCATTTGGAAATTGCTCCCAAGGATGAACCAGACTTGTGGAGGTCTACAATTCCTTTCTGAGGTCTTGGCTTATTTCTTTTGATTTTCCCATGATGTCAAGCAAAGAGGCACTGAGTTTGAAGGTAGGCCTTGAAATACATCCACAGGTACACCTCCAATTGACTCAAATGATGTCAATTAGCCTATCAGAAGCTTCTAAAGCCATGACATCATTTTCTGGAATTTTCCAAGCTGTTTAAAGGCACGGTCAACTTAGTGTATGTACATTTCTGACCCACTGGAATTGTGATACAGTGAATTATAAGTGAAATAATCTGTCTGTAAACAATTGTTGGAAAAATTACTTGTGACATGGAGAAAGTAGATGCCTTAATCGACTTGCCAAAACTATAGTTTGTTAACAAGAAATTTGTGGAGTGGTTGAAAAACGAGTTTTAATGACTCCAACCTAAGTGTATGTAAACTTCCGAGTTCAACTGTATGTGACAATCAGTGTCAATCTGAGTTTACCGTACTAAATAGTAAGCATAAAGCTATATAATCGGATATACACTGAGTGGACAAAACATTATGAACACCTGCTCTTTCCAAGACATAGACTGACCAGGTGGACAGACATTCTCCTTTAAATTCTCTGATACAGAGCAAAATTCATGTTTCCTTCAATGATGGCAAGTCGTCCAGGTCTTGAGGCAGCAAAGTATCCCTAAACCATCACACTACCACCACCATGTTTGACTGTTGGTATGCGGTTCTTACCATGGAATGCAATGTTTGGTTTTTCTCAGACATAACTGGACCCATGTTGTCCAAAAATTTGACTGAAGTTTGCCAAAAAGCACCTAGATGCACCTGGATGATCGTCAAGACTCCTGAAAGAATGTCTATGGACAGATGATTCAAAATTTGAACTTTTGGGACGACATGGGTCCTGTTATGAGTGTAAGGGGGCAATTACTTGTTCACACAGTGGCATTGGGTGTTGTATAACTTTGTTTATTAAATAAATGAAAAAAGTGTTCAGTCAGGTTCCTTTTATCTGTCACGACTTCGGCCGAGGCTGCCTCCCCTCCTTGTTCGGGCAGGCTTCGGCGTTCGTCGTCACCGGAGTACTAACCACTGCCGCCCCAATCATCATCACAATTGTCTTGTCTCGTTATCACACACACCTGGTTCTAATCCGCTAATTAGTCTGTGTATAAGTGTTCCCTCTGCCCCCTTGTCCTTGTGGGTGATTGTTTATTGTGAAGGTTAGTGAAGCTTGTGTATTTTGTTCGACGGGAGTATTTTCCTGTGTGCCTTGTATTTTCCAGTGCACCTGTTTTGTGCCCTGGAGTGTGTTTGACGCAGTTCTGCGTAAACCTGTATTTTGCGGAATAAAGCCTGTTATTCTGTGATTTACCCTCCTGCTCCTGACTCCTTCAACACCACCTCATCACATTATCTAGTATTAGGTTTTGGTTGAAGATCTGATAACATTCAGTGTCCAAAATATGCAAAAATAGAGAAAATCAGAAAAGTGGCAAATATTTTTCACGGCACTGTATGTGTTGTATCCCTGTGTACACAGTGCATATTTTTGAAGCTTAACCCTGCATGTTTTTATCCAACATCATGTTATTCTGTGTATGTACGAATGAGCCCTGTGAAAAGTATGTGTGTGTATGGATGTACATATGTGACTGATTTTATCTCTGATTTTTTGTGAGCTAAAGCCATTGTGTATTCCTGCATGTCTGTGAAATAAAACCCTGTTTTGTGTCTGTGTGTGTGTTTGTGTGTGTGTGGGCGTGTGTAAGTGAGCAGCTGCGTGGGTTTGCGCAGGGCTTTGGCCACCTGGCGCTCTGAGGTGGATGCTAGGGCCTCTTTCGAGTAAAAGTGGAAACAGTGCGTCACGTACACACGCTTCAAACTCAGCTTACACAACCTCTGTGTGGATGATACAGATCACACCTTCCTTCCACTTTCCAAGAGAGAAAAGAGGTTTCTGATTTGATATCATTTTAAAGAAACCCCTCTCTTTCTTCTCACTCTCTCCTCTCTCAATATCTGCCCCCTCTTCACTTTCACAGCTAGTCTCAATTTACCCTCATCCCTCTCTCTGTAAACTCTCTCAGCTCACTTTTTCTTCTTTCTCTCTACCAGATTTTATCCCCTCTCTCTGTATTTTATCTCCTCTTTCTAGACTTCATCTCTCTCTGAATCTCTCTCTCAAATACTGTACCCTGGTTCCTTGTTCTCTAATTCCTCCCACTCTCTCATGTCCTTCCTCTATTTCTCTCTCTTTTTCTGTTTCTGTGTATCTAATGCAGTGTAAACTAAAGAGGCCCAGCCAGTTGAGGTGTAAGGACAGCGCTATCACCCTCTTCCTCATCCTCCTACTCCCCCCCCCCAACCCCCCCCCCCCCCCCCCGCCCGCCTGCCCACCCTATCTTGAGGCCCATCTGCCATCTGTGGTGACACCACATGTCTGTGTATGTTCACATCGACCACGTCACCAGGAAGGATGGTTCAACCACAGTCCAGAGCAATGCTGGTGAATAAGCTACAGTGCAGGAAACTGCATATACAAACATGTGGCCACTGCACTTGCCAGTAAAGCAGGGTTGGGGTCAATTCTATTTTAATTCACACAAACCAAGGTCATTATAGTAACAAATACTGGTATTAATGTACCTAGACAAATCAAATCAGGAAGTAAAATGAAATTCCAATTTTGCGCATGGAAGAGCTAATAGGAAAATTGGCATTGACATTTCACTTTTCTTCCTGAATTGACCGAATTCACTTCACTTCCTGAATTTTACATTTTTACATTTTAGTCAATTAGCAGACGCTCTTATCCAGAGCGACTTACAGTTAGTGAGTGCATACATTTTCATACTGGCCCCCCGTGGGAAACGAACCCACAACCCTGGCGTTCCAAGCGCCATGCTCTACCAACTGAGCTACAGGGGACTACTCACTTTACTTCCTGAATTGACCCTAACCCTGCAGTGCAGTCCAGTGCTAATCGACACATCTCTAATGTCACAGTCTGTCATAACCATAATGACACGATAACTCAACCCAAAGCTATATGCAAGTGCCAGACATAGTGTTAAATACTCAGCCATTAGCTAATAGTTATCAGTCAGCTCACTACCCTGTTTCCAAGGCATTTTTAACTCCAGGTGTTGTGGAGAACAGTTGTAGTAGATGTGTAGTACTGTAGAGCGAGAGTAGGTTAGAGCCACATCTGTTTTGGCAGATGTGGTAACATCTCTGAGTCATGTCTGGAGGTGTTGTGAGTCTATGGGTGCGTTCCGAATGGCACCATATTACCTATGGGCCTTGGTCAAAAGTAGTGCACTATATAGGGAATAGGATCCCATTTTCGACGCAACGTCTTTTGGTCCGTCGGGTCGGCTGAGCTGCTT